AATTTCATGGGTTTATGGGTTAATTTTTTTTGTGCCGAACTCTCGATTCTTTTTCTATAATAAAAGCAGCCTGAGTTACTTCGTATAACACAAGCTATCTGCCAGTGAACGACCCTTCAAAATCGGTCCAGCCGTTTCGGAGATTAGCCAAAAAAGATAGACAGAAACAAAAATTTAAAAATTGTTTCATAATATAATAACAAATATTCAATTTATCCTATAGGCTTACTAGGTTAATTAAAATGCATGGAGTGTTTTGCACTTACTAAAACGATTTTCGTTACCTTTATATAGGAAACTGCCAGTATGAAATTAACCATTCAAATTTTTTTTAATTTAAAGCACGTGTCAACGAGTTAACTTCTTATGATATCTATCCGGCATAGAAATAAACCTATACATACATATATACATATCTCCAGCACATTAAAATCTCTATGGTGTAAACGTGGCTTTAAATATATGTATATAATATTATTTTTTGTAAAGTTTTAATATACCTATTTGTTTCAAATGCCTTGACATAATAAGTAATATTATATAAGTAAAAAATAGAGTAAATTATAATAACACGTCGCGGCGCACTTACGGCTCTTAGTGGCTAAGTAATGGAGTGAGAAGGTCGAATAAAGTTGGCATTCCGCTGAGTTATTGGATATGATTTTCAACTTTTTTATTGCTGTCTGTGGGAATAGAGGAGAACTTGTGGGACAATGGCTTAACCGTATGATGTTAATAGTTAATAGTGAAACTCCTTTAATATACCTACTAAATGTTATCATTGGTTTTATTATTTTTATTTCAAAGCTTTCTTCTCTGTACTTTTTTTTATTATGTCTTTATTCACCTCCATAAACGGATGATTTCCGGGATAAAATGTATCCTATGTCTTTCCCAGTGTCTCAAACTATCTTTTTACCAAATTTCATCTTAATCGGTTCAGTAGATCCAGAGATTACCCCCTACAACCTCACAAACTTTACCTCTTTATAATACCTATTATAGTATAGATAACAACACTAGATGATTTAAAATTCTAAAAAATAATGTAATTTAAAAATTTTATTATTCTATTTTTGTTTTTGTATATAAGCAATAAAAATATTTATATGAGCAGGATATATTGTATTGTACTGAATTATTTATTGTAAAAATACAAATTGTAACTTTTGTGTTCTAGCGTGGGAGAAAACGGAAATTCACGAGTCACGGCTTTACCCTTAATATAGGTGGAAGTAAATTATAGTTCATCATGTTGGCTTAACGCGGAGATCTCTCACATGCTTTTCTTCACAATATTTTCATTGAAAAGTTAGATGTTTGAACCTGCTTCATTGAATTTCAAAAGCTAGCGTACTACCAATTGTACTATTCAAAATGCATCTAAAAGCAAAACCACATACTACGCGAGAATAATTTTAAAAAGTTATTATTTCTGTTATTGAAATTAAATTATCTTTTAAAAACTAGTGGTCTATTGCCTTTAGGTCGGCTAATAGAAGGGACGAGAGCGGATCTGTTCATCCGGAATTATGAGGACGAGTAATCTTGTCCTCTTATAACTTATTTTCGAAAATCTCTTTTGACCATCTTGAGTGATTTTGTAACCTTACGGTTTATTGGAATCAACTTAAATCGGTTTGATGTTTATATTGTTTTTATTTATCTTATAATGAAATTATACTCGAAAGTTAGATATTATTTAAGCATATTTCTTATTCCAATGTATATAGATTTCAGTTTGATTTGTTTTTCCAATTATTATTATAATAAAGCAGTTTTTGTTTTAGAGTTTCCGAATTCATTTAAACTTAACTATTAAAACGATAACATTATCTATCTATCTATATAAATAAAAATGAATATTGCTAAAAACTCAAGAACGGCTCGACTAATTCAGCTAAATTAAAGAGAAAAGAATATAAAATAATATATATATATATATATATATATATATATATATATATATATATATATATATATATATATAAAACAAAGTCGTGTTAATTACATCATTTATAACTCAAGAACGGCTGGACAATTTTTATATTTGATTTTTTGGATTTCTCTTAGTCCAGAATAGTAGAATAAGTATTAAAACATCAGAAAAATTAACGAAAAAAACCTAGCGACGAACCCGAGCGAAGCGAAGCGAAGGGTGAGCCGCTAGTTTATAAATAAATAATATGATTATTTATGTATGAATTAATTAAGAGTGAGTTCTTCTACTGTGCGACTATCGACAGAAAGTTTATTGAAAACATTTTCAAATAGCTAATACAAACTAGTAGCAGTGGTAGTTCAGTGGCAACGCGCACGCTTAGAAATCCGAGTGAAGCGGGTTCAAATCCCAGTCTCGTTCCTTTGATATTTAAGAGAATCTAGTTTTCGAAACACAGGTTAAGTCCGCCAACCCGCACTTGGTCAGCGTGGTCGACTGATTAAATGGAATGATCCCCCTAGTATTAAGTATTAAACGGAGGTCCGTGCCCAGCAGTGGGACGATAAAAAGGGCTGCATACAAACTAATACTAATCAATTATATAGATACTATTGTCAAAAAATAATTACGAAACACAATCTGTGAGTTAAACAACAATATCTGATAGATTATAAAAGTCAATTCGTGTTTATTATATTTGTAAAGCTTACATTTCAGTAGCTTTAACATTGGCTAAATGATGATAAATAAAAATTAAAATACTCACTGTTATTTACAGTTTTTATTTGTATACATTCATGATGAAAAAATTGCAAATGGGTACATACAATCGGACGAAAGGTATAGCTGTTATGGACCATGATAGCGATTGACCGCCAAAATTCTTTGTACTGATTTTAGTTTAGATTTTTTTTCTCCTATTGTGTATACTCGAACATCTATTAGTTTTCAAGTTCCTCATTTAACTTCTTTCTGAGCGGAGGATTTAATAAGATCCTTTATTAATGGACCTCTAGGGTATTTGAAGAGAATTTCCTTTTTATTCTTCTTAGTCAATTAAGTTAAGCTGTGGTTAAAAAGTTTTTAGTTTCTCACGAAAGCTTTATATATTTTTACTAGCGACTCACCCTCGCTCCGCTCGGGTTCGTCCTTACGGTTAAAGTTAGTGTCGATTTCTCAGAGATGTGATATTATCTCGTAGTAAAAAGTATAAAAACCATGTAAAAAGAAATTGGGCTCGTCCGGGATTTGAACCCGGGACCTCTCGCACCCTAAGCGAAAATCATACCCCTAGACCAACGAGCCGCTTGTGCGATTACCGAAATAAATAATCAAGATATACGATCGTCGAATGCCTTTCACTTAAATAATTTTTAAAGTGTAAAAAGTCTTTAAACTGGCGATCTTTATCTAGGCATTTGACCATACATAAATATTTATATCAATTATTTCATTATTCACTTTAATCCTGAAATGTGATTTTATTACGACTTATGTAATTTATATTGTACTATTAAATATTAGTATAAATTTCTCAGAGATGAGATATTTTCCCATATATATATATATATATATTGACCCGGATAATCAGCTATTATCATACTAAATTTCATCAAAGTCGGTCCAGTGCTTTTCTCGTTTTTCGTCGTTTCAGACAGACAGACAAAATTTTTAAAAAGAATAGATTCGGCCTCTGTATTGATAACAATGACTAATGCAATAAGATTTTCTAAAAAAATATTTAATGTACAGATTAGACTCATATAGAATTTTATTATATGTATAGATTATCTTTTAAGTATCATAATTTGTTACTGTTCGGAAATTTAGATAAGCTATGTATGTTTAAGACAAGCTTCTCATATGTGCTAATCGGATTTGCAGCATCGTACAAACGCAGTTAAGTGTATACTCATATTATAACCTAGCAAGGAGTACAGTACTTCACTCAACTGTTTGAAATTGAATTATACAAGCCTTTACTGTAAAAATTACTATGTTTTATGTTCAATTTCCTTATTTATGAATAAAGTTATTATTATATTAAAATAAAGATTTATAGTTATGGCATCTTCTAACTATAGCAATACTAATATTATAAATATACTTTTTCACACTGTACAGATTTACAGATTAATTATTGCTGAACAGATTTCGATAAAATTTTGAATGGTAACATTAATTGCACCCGCAGAAATAAATTTGTAAAATAAAATATATTTATAATATAAAATAAAATTAAAATCTTATTAAATAAATATGTTGGGGCATATTAGCCCACAACACCATCTCGTTCCATTGTAAGTTACGAGGCTTGTGTTATGGATACCAGATAACTGATGCATTACACATTTATAAACTTTAAATAGGTACATACGTATTATAAATATAAACATCCATGACTAGAGTACAAGTATTTGTGCTCATCACACAAATGAATGCCCTCAGCGGAACACGAACCCGCGACCGTTGGCACAGCAAGTAGGGTCACTACAGACTGAGCCAAACGTGTCGTCAAAATTATTTATTTCAAAGAGGGTCCCAATAGGGACGTTTCACTCTTGTCCTTATTAGATCTTTTAGACTCTTTAATAATTTTTGCAATATCTTAAATCCTAATATTCTCAAGATAATGATCATAAAATGTTTTTATAACGGATAGCCACAAGCATTTTTGTAGTTCACAGTTATTTTAAAGCCCATTTAATTACTTTAGCAATATGATTAATATCTTGTATCAATGTCTATATATATGTATATATATATATATATATATATATATATATAATATTTCAATTAACTTATACAAAATCTGAATGAATTATACGCCTGCGGTGGGGGGACTTTGTGTTTTAAATGTAATGATTAGATATAGAATACTCCGACGTCAATTTTGAGTTATTATTTGAATTGGAATGAAGTTCTACTACTGATTTCTAATTTTGGACCAATTTTTTTTCAAGATTTATGATTTTTTGAAGTGTAATAAAGTATTTCAACCGGTGTTCTCCAGCTAAGTATTTGACATATTCTGGAATTTTATTAATTCATTACTTACTTTAATTCTGGTTTCTTAGGTAACTCCTTCTCTTCTTTCTTCTTCTCTTCTTTTAATGGAGAAGGAGGTGGAGTGTGATCAGTGTGGTCTTTATCCACGTCCATATTTGAAGGCGCGTAGCCAGAGTCGTTGTTCGTGTTGGGATCCATCATTGGTATTGGAGACGCCAAATTCGCCATTATTCTAAATAGAAAAAAAAATGTTTTCGTAAATTATCAAAACTTATTATTATTAATGTTCATAGACATACCTACTTTTAAGGGATTTATTTTTTTATTATATTTATCTTTATTTTCTTTAATTTTTAAACATATTTTTCCCACACTAGTTCATGGTAGATACAGTAGTTTGAGATTACTTTTCTTAGTTATTTTGTCGACTGCTAGTATTTATTTCTTATTAAATCAAGTTCGAGATCAAGATTATATCATAATTCAAAGAAATTTATATAGCATCCTGTTGCAACCTGTTAGTATAAACTTCCTCTGAATTTAAACTCTATAATCTAAAACCAGTTTTTCAGATTAAAAGAAGCAATGAACATACATACTTAAAAAAATATAAAATATAAACATTCATACTTAGCAAGTTCAAAGAAGTATATTATGAACTATTATATTATACGACGAAGTACTTAAAAAACTTGTAATTTTTAAGAAACTGTAAAATTTTAAAAGCTTTTCACATAATTTTACTCTGTCTGAGTACTTCATTACTTTAGTAAAAGATATTATTAACATTTTCATCAGCTTATCTATTTCTATTTATTCCGAAACTACGTAACTTTGGAGGAGAGGCTACATCTTGAGATCTATACTACTACAACTCCATCGATTACTATGTGAGTAATTTTTTTATTCAGAATATTACATGTGAACGAACACACAAATATACACACACATCCTTTTATACTTTTTCTATTTTTATTAAGACCTTTTTTATTAACCTTTTCATAAATTACATTTGTGACAAAAAAATTGTGACAAAAGAAGAAAATAGTGACATTATAACGCTTTGAATTTTAAATACGATTTTTATTTCTATTTTAAATAAATAGATTAAAATATTTAAATATTGCTGTAACGGCCAAACATGTATTGAAAATCCAGTATAAATTATCTATCTACTAGCGGCTCACTCTCTCTTTGCTCAGGTTCGCCTCTAGAAAAACAAAAACAAATCTATCCCACGGGAACCGTACATTTTTTCGATCCGTTGAGATGGTCTGGCGTGATAGAGTAACAAACATCCAAACATCTAAACCTTCGCATTTGTAATAATATATTACTAAGATTAAGGAGCTTTGAGGTTGTAGATAAAAACTCTTGATTAATCTTCTCTTCCATTCTAAGTTAAGTACCCAATTTTTTGTAATTATTATTTCCTTAATGAGATAAAACATAATACTTTTCTTTATTTAATTTGCTAACAGAGTGAGCTTTTCATTAGACATAATTTATTAAAATAAAAAAGACCTTAGAAAAGGTAGAACATAAGATGTACCTACATCAATTCTTTTTGTCGATATAAAAAAAAACGATATGGTGCTTTGTAAGACCAAAGCCTATTTGACAGTTTATTTACTAAAATACTCACAGTCCAGTTTCTTCCACGACTGCAGCTAACATAAATCTGGCGGACCTGGTGTTCACCAACTCCTCAGCATACGCACCCATTTCCGACCTATCAAAACTGTTTAAATTTTTCATCAAATTTTTTTTAATTGTAAATCTATACATATAGAAGAAGAATATCATTATATAATACATATTACATATAAACAAAGAGTTGTAAAAACTTGAACTCTGGAGTTTTATACATTAATTAGCGACTCACCTTCGCTACGCTCTGGTTCGTCCCTAGTTACGTTAGGATAGATTTCTCAGAGATGAGATATTTACCCGTAGTAAAAAATCCTATATGTTGACCCGAATAACCAGCTATCATCATAATAAATTTCATCGAAATCTATCGAGTGGTTTTCTCGTGATGCATTTCCATATAGACAGACAGACAAAAGTTCTAAAAACTATAGATTCGGCCTATATATTGCAAATAATGACTATTGCAATAAGATTTTCCAAAAAATATTTAATGTACAGTTTCGACTTAGTTAGAATTTTATTATATGTATAGATTAGTAATATTTCTAATATTAACTTATTCTATGAACTAGAAGTAGTTTAAAGGAATACGCATTTATAAATAACAAAATATCTGACATAAAGCTAAAGTATGATTGTCAGGTTAACTTAACTAATACTTAAAGTATCTCGCTAATTTAAATTCAAATGAGTCTTAAAATTAAAGACTTTATTTTAAACAGCACTTCATACTATAAGTAAAATGTTAATTTTCCAAAGGTAAATTGACATTCAAAATATCAGGTTGATACTCGAATAAGTGCTTCGATCGAATTAAGACGAGCGTAATTATTTATACAAGATCTATTGAGTGCTTTACAGACAAATAATTGAACCCAGTTATGCAAAAAACAGCTATGTGCGTAAAAGTACCAACAGAGTTATAAGCATTTTATTATAATAAATAAAATAATTATAAAAAATAAATAATACTTATATAAATATTGTTCAATTTTAAAATAACCAGAAAAACAAAACATAACCCAAGTGCAAATATCAGAAAAATGCTTATAACTCTGTTGGTACTTTTACGCAGATGGCTGTTTTTTGCATAACTGGGTCCAATTTTCAGTTAACCTTTGTTTAGTAGTTAGATTAATGATAAGTATTCGCGCTCATTTAAATATGCTATTGAGATTGGGGTGAAGAAACTTTAAATCGCCCTTATTTATATTTATCAAAATTGTTGAATGCGAGAAACATAATTACTGTACGTATAGAAGATTCTGCTTGAGTTTTCAGGTATTTCTAAGTAACGACTTATTCTTGATTCTCTCGGGTGCGTTTCTATGTATGTATGTATGTATGTATGTATGTATGTATATATGTATGTATGTATGTATGTATGTATGTATGTATGTATGTATGTATGTATGTATGTATGTATGTAATGTATATATTAACAGTAGACTATGAGTTACTCCAGGTCTCATAGTATATTTCTGTACTTATTAAGATCCATCTAGCTGTTTTGGCGTAACGGAGTAATAATGATATACATATATACAGCGCAGCACGTAATAAGGCAGCGGTAGCCCAGTAACGCGCTCGTTTGGAAAACCGAGTGAAGCGGGTTCAAATCTCGGGTCTTGCATCTCTGATATTTTCATTTGAATTCCATTACGAACATGATTACCACTTGTCTTGCGGTAAAGGAAAACATCGTGAGGAAATCTGCACGTGTGAGGAAAGCTAGCAAATTTTCGAAAGACATGCTCACTTTGGCCAAGTGGCCAGCGTGGTGGATTATGACCTGATCCCCCTTGTATTGAAGGGAGACCCGTGCCCAGCAGTGAGACGTTAAAAAGGGCCAAAAACAATACATGGTATACATAGAAACTTTCGAATTTCGAAGGTTAGTGTGAAAAAAGGTAGGATTTAATGTAAAATTTAAATTGTATTTATATAAAAATTATCTTTACATAGTAATTTCTTATATCTACAGAAATAAACTTTAATAGTAGCTATAAATAAGAATCTTGTGTATTGTAATAAATTCAATATAGAGCAGCAAAACGTCGATGAAATAAGATGTGTTACAGCACTGTGCGACTCTTTGTAGATTAAAGGCTTCCAACAGTCTAGACGTGTGACAGGTTTTATATTTTCAACTAGCTTTTCTTGGGGCTTCACTCATGTAGTCTATTTATGTATGACTTGTTTCGATCAAGAATTATGCTATCAAAAGCTTTTTTTTTCTAATCAGACTTGTAGTACCAGAGACAAGCGTTGAAATAAAAAAAAACTCGCTTTAATGGTATATGAGTATAGATAATAAAGAATGAATAAATATATTATTATACACGTATTGTAATTTAATGAAAAATAGTAAATGACAAATGTATATAAAACTTTTTAGAATATGGCGCTTATCACTAGTTTTTTCCAGTCAACTATAAAAAATGACATTTTATGCTGATTTCCTGAAAATGTTTTCTTTAACAGTATTGAGTAAGTTGTAATGCTTTCTTAGATTTACGCGAATATTTTGACATTTGAAATAAAACTATCTTTTCGGATTTTTTCGCGGATTTATTTTGATTTTTGGTTCCCGACATGTAATTATGGTCACGGGAGAGACTTATAATGACAGAGTTATATCATAAATGATTTATGCACGTGAAAATGTTAGAGTTGAGACTGAACCGAGTCTGAACCCGCTTCTCTTGATCTTATTACTAAGAAAGCTTCCAATGGATTATGACTGGTTGTGTACTAAAATAAGTACATAATAATATAAATCAATAATAGCAACTCTTTATAAATATTAACTAATTCTGAAATTAAAAATACCTGTCAAAAGTTCTTACAGTATTTTTTGTTCATTTATTCAAATAGACTTATATAAAATTGAAGCTGCAATGCTCAGTCAGGAAAATAAGTGACAACTAAGGAAATGTTCACATTGAAATAACTCTTTGGACTCTCAGTGAAGCATTTTATAAAAAAATCCTGGTTGTGGTAAAAAATGCCGCTTATTCGAATATAGAGTATATATTAGTGCTAAAAAGGTTTTTGAGAACCGACCCTTAAAACGGTGAAAAAGTTTGTCAGAGTTTGTATGGAGAGGATTGTTACGAATAACCAGAACACAAAAAATCGGGATAGGCTTGTTGCTGTTCTTATATTAAAATATGTAGCAGTAACAAATATTGTAGGTACTTTGTATGGTAAAGAATGGAATAAAACGGTTTGGTATTAAGTTTTACAAAGTAGATATATGAATTTAAATAAACACATCTATTACATGTTAACAAATATAAACAATTATTCAACAGAACGGGTCGAAGCTATTTACTAACGACGGAATCGAACTTTCTTTTATACTCAACTAAATATGGAGATAAATTATCATAAATCACGTAAGCACAATACTCACTTATCATCATCGTCCTCATTACTCCCAGAGGCAGTGTTAGTCGGTCGATCCTCTGGCACTTCTACAAATCTTTGTGTCTGCGCAATGTTCTCAATCACAACAGCCGCAGTACCGCTGGAGAGGGCTGAGCTGACCGCTGACGAGGTTTTGGCCCCACGTTGTTTTTTGGCACGTTGTCGGATTGCCTATTAAAAAAAAAAGATTAAAAAGGTTTCATTCAACATTTCTTTATGGATTCTGGCAATAGTCACCGCCGCCGTTTTGTATATTTTACCAAATGGTGGTAGCCCAAAATGGCGTCCTCTTTTTATATCATTAGTTTATATACATAATATTTATATAATTATGATTTCCGTAAAAAAATTTTATACCATACTAGTGACCTGTTTTCGTATTGTGAATACTGTAAACATAAATTGTATCATATAAAGTTCTGGCTTTTATTATATAATATAACATAACAATATCTCGTCATACCAATCCCATAACTTTTGATTCAGCTAAGGACCTTATCTTTTGGTTCAGCCCAAGGCTGTGATCTGTACCCGTATAAGGTAGCCACTGCACCAAGGAGAAAATTTTTAATTATTTATTGTTATTAAATGAAACTGCAGTGGTTACCCTAGTACCGATGATGTCGAATTTATTGAAAATTTTGCTTTATTGTGACAATATACAAATATGAATTGATTTTACATATTTTAATATTAAATATCCATTTGCATTTTTAATAATGTACATAAATAATTGTACACTTATGTATATTATATATAAATATAACTAAAATGTCCGTCAATTAGTCCGTACTGATCTAAATCAACTAATTGTAAGCCAATATTCGTGTCACGTGATTTCCACTCATGATAAGATTTAATTCCTGTGTTTCATGACATAATATAGTCCAAAATGTTTTGTTTATATCTACTGATGTTTTTGTTAAAAAATATATTTAATAGACGTACAAAAGGTAGTAACAGACGTGCGGAAACGTTTGAAGTAAATTATATATTCAGTCCTTATTAACATCCCATTTCTAAGAACAAACTTCCCTTTAAGGCGAGGGGTAACAAGACATAGTCTACGCTGCGGGATGGAGAACTTAACATGTCTTTTCGACTTGCTAGGTTTTTTTTAAACATGGAGGTTTTCTCACGATGTTTTCCTTCACATCAAGGAGAATAATAATGTTGAAAAATGACTGGCACATGAGAATTCAGAGGTGCGAGACCCGAGATTTGAATCCGCTTCACTTTGTTTCCCGAGCAAGTACGAGAAACACAATGGTATTTTATATGAATGAAACGATTGAGATGAAAAAAAAATTAACCTTATAATTATCCTACTCCTGATAGTATGATACTCTATAATCATCTCCTTCTCTTGTAGGTTACTTTTCTGAAGTTTCTCTTCTACCACGCGTGAACTGCACACACACGCACTTTTTTTTTCTAGGAACTAAAACTGATCTTAGCAGTATAAAGATTAGAAGAAAAAAGGCTTAGGTAATAGATGTTAACTGATTTTTGACTGGCGAATAGAACATGTAGTAGAGAGCAAAGTAGCCAACGTGTTTTAAATTATTATAGTCAATATACTAGTATAAAAGTTAAATTCGACTTTTCCAGCGCATTGTGGGGACAGCAAAGTGTGAAGCAAAGAAAGATCTGGTTGCTAATTTGCTTCCCACTTTTTGCGTTCTATCTTAAGAGGGGTAAATGGTATCTACGACTTAAATAATAAATAATAAATATATATATATATATATATATATATATATATATATATATATATATATATATATATATATATATATATATTTGACCTTGTGTGACAAACTACTACTACTACTAAAACTATTATTAAAATGATAAAACACATACTTTCAACGATATTATGACGATTGCTATCACATTTGAATGTGCAAAAATAGTGGCTATAAAAGGAATTTAAAGTGTAGGTACGCGACCCAAAAAAGGATCGTAAAGGCTTTTATGGGAAATCACGGTCATCTGTTCGTCTATAAAGGGTAAGAATAAATGGGTTTTATATTGTATTGTTTTTTAAATGAGATAAAAGTACTCTTGGGCATTTATAGTTATTATGTACCTCTATTTTATAGTTAACTCGATTTTGGAATTATAATGTAAATGATATAGATCTTTTTAAATAAAACTATCTTTTCGGATTTAGACTGCAGTCTCTCCCGTGACCATGATTGCTGTAAAGCATTCGAAACGTCGGGAACCAAAAATGAAAATAAATTCGCGAAAAAATCCAAAAAGATAGTTTTATTTAAAATGTTAAGTATTCGCGTAAATGTAAGAAAGTATTATGATATAAATCTTTTATATATAAATATATTACTTAAAAGGCTTTATACAAACAGTTTTAATATTTATATATTATTATAACAGAAATAAGTTCGATTCTATCAACACATAACTGCTTATCAAAATATCTGTGTACTAAATGTTATTCATGTACTAAATGTGATAAACAAACTTGGTTGGCAAACAAACAAAATTGGTGAAAACCGTATGAAATCCCGTACATTTTACATAAGATAAGCAGACAGACAGACGCGGCAGGAGGACTCTGTTTTATGTAGTGATATGATTCCATGGCCCACAGTTAGTTAAGATTGTCAATAGCAAGGATAAATATCGAAAACATTATAAAAATCCTCTCACGTAGAGAGTATTGTCGTAGTACTTTTGCTGAAATTAAATCCCTATATTTATTATATGAAGGCCGAAAATCGAAAGCTTGCTTCAGAATTATACGCTGTAAGCAAAAGTTTCAGTACAATTCGATACCAATAATATCTTGGATACTGGGATCGCTTCTTTGTAAATATTGTGTGAGTTCTATCGAGGTCATATACAAGTAAGTTTAGAAGAGAGAGATTAGTTTTTCATATAAAACACATGCATATACATATACTAAATAGAAATTGACCCTTAATCCAGTTACTGTACGACTAATGTACGTATAATTATTTGCTAAGTAGCTAAGTAACAAAATAAACTTATTTTGTTTTAACGGTGAAGTAAAACATCGTGAGGAAACCTGCATGTCTGAGAGAACCTAGCAAGTTTTCAAAAGACATGTGAAGTCCGCCAACTTATACTTGGCCAGCGTGGTGGACTATGGCCTGATCCCCCTCGTACTGAAGGGAGGCCCGTGCCCAGCAGTGGGACGATAAAAAGGTCTGAATACATGCTGTATCAATAGGGTCAGCCTATTAAATATGGCATATTTACATAACTTGTACAAATATTTGTAGTAACCGAGAATAGATACTAGAATGTATATAAACGAAATTCAAACGTATATAACGTATACTGACGTATTGTAGGTAATTATTATTTTCTTGAAATATACAATGTTAATAAGTATAGCAAAATATACATGATATCAGTCTTCGTAGTCTTCTAAAAGTCTTCTCTTAACTACTCATCGCTGTAGTGCTTATTTGTTCAAAAGACCAATACTTGTACTTTACAGTAGATTTTTTCTCTAATTTAAAAACAAGGCTTTGTTTCTAAGATTTATATACATACATAATACTTATATAGATAAAAAAAACATCTTTTGGGCTTTTCAAAGTAAAATGTGTATTTTATACCAATAGAATTGACATTTAATAGTCAATAGTTCTGTATCAAAAACGCTTTTTGGTATATTGGTAGACAAATAAGCACTGAGACGACGTACTATAACAGTATATTTAAATAAAAAAATATATATATTGTTAGGCAGTTCCGACTAAAGCTCTAGGTATTTTTCATAAAAATGTATAAATGTAGAATGCAGTTATTATATCCATATTTCAAATTACATTTTACCCTACTTCGTAGAACTCGCTGAAGACCATCTATTGCAAGTGGAGAGATGATCTAAAAGCTCTACAGAATTCGTTTAAAAATGAATTTAATAATCTAAATTTACATCAGAAAGGCTCTATTTCAATAAACTATGCAAGTAGTAAGCTGATTTGCCTAACAGGAAATCGTGTATTTATTATTTCTTTTCAGGGTTTCCTTCCTGATAAGAAGTTTTGTAATTATTTATCCCCTTTTCCATCTGTCTGTATAAGAGGACAGATAAGCGTAATAAAAATATGGCTACTTATGATATATATATATGTTTTAGTTTTGACGTTCAGTATAGATTTCTCAGAGATAAGATATTTTCCGCAGTAAAAATATTCTATATGTTGACGAGGATAACCAGCTATAGCTATAGGATACCAAATTTTATCAAATTCAGTCCAGTAGTTTTCTTGTGATGGGTTCCCAGACAGACAGACAAAAATTTTAAAAACTATAGAGTCGGCCTCTGTATTCATAATAACGACAATTTCAATAAGATTTTCCAAAAAATGTTTAATGTACAGATTCGACTCAGTTAGAATTTTATTATATACTCGTATATAGACAAATACAAAAGGTACCTATGGACCCGAACGAAGTAAGAGTAAGCCGTTGGTTTTATAATAACGTATTATCGTGTAGATTGCACTACACATTCTCTTTATCCTTAACATCCCATCTTAGCAAGTTTCTGAAAGGAGCATTTCCTTCTCGAGATCTAGCGGTTTTGTCTACAAGTTGTTATGGATTATATTTGTTTCATCCTGTTAGGTAGTTTTGCTATAAGTCTTAGTATAAAGCAAGCACTTAGTGCTTTAACAAACTGAATTCCTTCTCCCAAAGTTCTCAGTCTAAAAAATTTAAATATATATTTTTTTAATTGATTATTGAAGAGTACTTGAAGAGTAGATCTTTTTAAATTAGGTATATCTAGATTAACTTGAACTAGTTTTTGGCTATCTTTTATAGCCAAGGGATCGAATTTGTAACCCTTTACACTTTATGTATTTCTCAAAGTGACTGAACCGTTTGTATTAGCCGTATATGACATATGATAAATCTAAGACAATATTATTTATATTACGGTGTATTGATATGTTTTTGAAGAGAATTTATCTAGGAAGGAAACGAGTGTAATTAATTATCTGAAAAGCAATCTTGTTCTACTGGAAATTGATATATATGTAAAGTATATGTATATATATTTATATACGTAAAGTATATATATTGACGACACGTTTGGCTCAGTTTATAGTTGTACTTGCTATGCTAGCGGTCACGGGTACATTCATTTGTGTGATGAGCACGAATATCTTTATAGTCCAGTCAAGGGTGTTTATATTTATAATATGTATCTACTTAAAGTTTTATATGTGTAGTATATCAACTATCTGGTATCCATAACACAAGCCTCGTAGCTTACCATGGAACTAGATGGTGCTGAGTGTTAATGTTCCAATATATTATACTATATATATTATTATATGTATTGTTAAGTATTATAGTATTATACTATTGTTATAAATGCGACTTGGTTGGTATGTCTGTGTTTGTTAGTCCTTCACGTTGAAATTGCTGGATTGATTTGGATGAAATTCACTACACAGATAGATTATGACCTGAAGTAACATATAGCTAAAAATAAAAAACTGGCAAAAGGTGGCGCTACTTTAGCAAAAACTTCAGAAAGAACTTTAGGTAGATATTTTGTTTTACCTTGGCCTAGATTTTTTTATGACTTATTTTTGCAATAAGGAATATATGTTTATAGATTGCATTCTTTAACATTCATTAAATTTACATTTGCAGAGCATTTTCAACTTTATTTCCGGTAAATGTCATCTTAGAGATATATGTCTAATAATGAATTATATTTATTATTTATTATATATTTATTATTTTATATATTTTAAATTCCTCATGATGTATGAATGGCAGATTTGCAAAACCTTTCAAACCCTCACAAAGCTGAGCTTTTTGCTAGTAAATACCAAAAGTACCTAGGGATCAAGTATCCCGTGAAGCGAGGCTAAGTCTCTTGTTGAGAAACAATATAGACGTTGACTCTACCTCACTTAAATCTCGAGAATCGTGCTAAGCCAACATTGCCATCTGGCCAATAAAGTATTTTTATACAAAAAAAAAATGGGTACGTGTAACCTTTATGCGCGGTTGAAGTAAAATTTCTTTGACAAATATCGCAATTAAATAATAAACAAAAAACAATAATTAAATAAGGCATATTCAGCATATTACAATCGTATATTTATAGAATATCTATTATATACGGAAAGGATATAATATATTATATTTGTCGGATAATAACAACGGTTACCATGGCAACAATTAGTCATAATAGCTTCTATTTAATTTATGCATTTTCATCCCACAAATTTAATTTAACATATATTACAAAACATATTATTCAGTATTATTTTTCACTTCCTGTGTAATAAATTTATCTCATTCTCTCGCCGGCTAAATCCTATATATTTTGAGCTTGTCTCTTTCTAGTGTTGCATTTCCGTTTCATCGAGTTTCAAATCACAACGGTTCTAAAGAAGTTTCACTTCAAAAGATGATGATGAATATATGTCAAAAACAACCCAACAAGCATTCTTATAGTGAAAGTTAAATAGTCATTTTGGTATATAGTTATTTGTTTCGGTATTGTTACGCGAAGCTTTTTGGAACGGAGCATGCACTTCATTCTACAATATGTTTAGATGCTATACGCGTATTTCTACTACATATAACACATACATTTTGACGACACGTTTGGCTCAGTTTGTAGTGACGCTACTTGCTGTGCCAGCGGTTGCAGGTTCGAATCCCGCTGGGGACATTCATTTGCGTGACGACGAATGTTTGTGCTCTAGTCATGGGTGTTTATATTTATAATATGTTTGTATTTAAAGTTATATATGTGTAGTGTATTAACTATCTGGTATCCATAACACAAGCCTCGTAGCTTATCATGGAACTAGATGGTGCTGTGTGTAATGTCCCAACATATATAATGAAAAAATTCCGTGTTACCCATAGTCTATGCGATGATTTATGATACACTGTTTTATTAGCCATTTTTGTTAGTATATCAGTGTGTATTTTTTATTTTTTTTACGCTTTAAAAGCTTAAAGGATAGGAAATTCAGAACTTAGATAGCTCTTATGCCTATCTAGAACTAATATATAAGTTTGTATCGACTTATTAACTACTGGAACGGAGCAGTTGTAATTAAGCTTATGAGTACAGAATGACTTTCGAATGTTCCGCTATGTTGAATTTACGAGATATAGAAATTTTAGTACGAAAGTAACTGCCTTGTTGGTTTAGTGGATAGCATATGTAGGTGCAGATCCTGCAATGAAGTCTTAGGTTCAAGTTCTTCATCGTCATCTCTTCAGGTTATATCAAGAAATTCTCAGTAGTAGTCTTTATAAGGCCAATCTCACTTAAGTTTAGTTAAGAGGATGGATATTTTAAATTTGTATATAATAAATACATAATTAGAATTAGAAAAAAATATTACGATAACTAGCGACTCACCCTCGCTTCGCTCGGGTTCGTTTACGTTGTCGGTACGTTTTAAATTAAAGTGGATATAGTATGTTATCCTTAAGAGATAGACATATGCCATCGCGGACTTTTCTGTAGATCTATATAAGTTTAGGCTCAAATGGTTTAGGCAGCGTTTTCGTTGAAAGCTCCCAGACGTCTTATTTTTTCCGACACCTCCAACAAATATCGTTATATTTTAGCCAATGTATATAAAAACTTAACAAATTATATACTAAAACCTTCCTCTTGAATCATTCTATTTATTAAAAAAACCGCATCAAAATCCAATGCGTAGTTTTAAAGATTTAAGCATACATAGGGATATAGGGACAGAGAAAGCGACTTTGTTTTATACTATGTAGTGATTACATTTATCTAGGCTTCATGCAAAACTTCTTCTCTACACTAACTGTTCAAATTACTTATTCTTCCTTTGGCTTACAATTATGAATACTTATAAAGATTTTTTAAACTACTTACCTTAAAAATCCTATAATATAGAAACATCATTATGATGCATGGAATGTAGAATGATCCAAGTGATGAATATATCACATAGTCGGTACTGTTGAACAGGCACTGGTCAGGACTTCTGTCAGGCGTGTTGTTGAGGCCCAGGACCACTGGAGAACCGATTGCAGCAGAGACGAGCCAGGCTACAGCTATCATAAGCCACACTCGCGCGTTGCTCTTGTGTTTTGCGTATTTGATTGGTTGTGTTACAGCGATGTATCTGAGAAAAGAAATGTAATAATAATGAATTAGTTTTTTAGTTTAAGCCAAACTTTTGCCTACGGTTTCACTTACATAGTTTATTTGCTTATAGTTGCTCCGCTGCTAAGGATTCTAGGGTGATGTTAGATATCTTATAATCTATCTCAGTAAATAGGCCACGAAATGCAAAATTAGAAAGGTCAGTCTAAAGATTCAAATAAAAAATATATTATTCAGCATTAACTTATTACATTTCTTTACTGAAAGTCACGAGTTTATTACTAAGTCGAAAAGAAAAAGTCTCAGACTTGAGAAGAACTGGCGAAAGAAACTCAGCGGAACTAAAATCATCATTTTTCTGGAATGTAAAATTATAATAAATTACAATAATTCAACGATATTAAATGAGCCTGGAGGTGATCACATTATTCCCAAGGCGTGCCATCCATAGTAATATTATAAATATGAAAGTGTGTTTGTTTGTCTGTCTGTCTGTCTGTCTGTCTGTCTGTCTGTCTGTCTGTCTGTCTGTTTGTTTATTTGTTTGTTTGTTTGTTTGTTTGTTTGTTTGTCTGTCCTAAGTTTATGTCGAAACTCAGTGACCGATTGGCGTGATTTTTTGTGTGGAGATAGTTGGAGAGCTCAAAAGTGACAGAGGCTGCTTTTTACCGCGGGAGATTATCTCATTCACACGGGAAAACACGTTATAAATTATAATATAACCAAAAAAATATGATTATAACCACTTGAAACGTGGTGTATTAATTCTCTTCAACACCATTAAACAAATACGTGTTTTAGTATTTTTTTAAATTCATCCCATAAGGGGGTAAAATAGGGGAAGAAAGTTTGTATGAATCCAACCATTTTAGTGACTTTTTTGTTGTTTTAGCGCGAGCCAAGCCGGGGGTTCTGCTAGTATTCTATAAAGTCATTATATAATAGCCTATACAACCTTTAGCACACACCTTCTTTAACTATTTTTTTGGTTAGCGCTATTAAACAAAAAAAATCTTCTTAATTATGTTAATATAGAAAGAATATCTTTATAATATTGGTACAAGTTTTTACTTGTAAGCTATTTCCTGACTTAAAAACTATATGCAAAAAATCACGTCTCTTGATCGTTCCATTGTTATTACATTCTATTAAATAACGAGAAACGACGAGGTTATATTTTTCATTTTGATATTATTTTGGAAGAAATACTTTAAAATCACAATGTTTAAATGGAGATAATTCACAATATCGCCTCTCAAGCGAGAAATATTAAAAATTATATATTTCTGAAGGCGAGACTGCTCAATGAAGCGAGAACATAAAATTTTACACCGACTTATTAGAAGTTTTATAAAGAAAAATTTTCTGAGAAATATTTAAGATGTTATCGAAGAGCTCCAAGTCTAGATTTCGGTAGACTCCCTAAAATTGCTTAGGTTTTAGGTCGCCGTACATCGGATAAGCAAAATAATCTACTGGGCGGAAAAGTGCCCACGCCTTTATCTTCTAACGACGGATCACAACAATCTATCTATCTTTGGTTTTCATTATTAAATATAGAAACTTGACTCAAAAATAAACCATAAAAATAAGTCCAATTTCTACCGTAAGTAAAAATAAAATAGTTTATTGGAATCTGCCCTAAGAGTTTAATTTCAACGATGACGAAGTGCGACGATGAAATAGTAGACATTATCTACTGTGTGTACCGTTAGGGGAGACCGAGGGTATTTTAAATAAAAACTTTTTAACAAAAAATAAAAACCGACTTCCAGACACTAAAATGTAAAAAATAACTAAACGGAGGTTTTCATTTAGAATAGATACCTAATCAAATATTTTCGAAGTCGGTGCTAGCCGATGCAAAACAAATCTAATACATTTCGATACGTAAAATATATATTTACCTATTAGATATTCATATCTTAAAATGTTGTATTAGTTACGTCAATTTTTACCACAATATTTAACGATTACAATTTCTTTGTGTTAGCTATTTGCAAGTCTAAAGAATGGCCTATCGATTGGTACTAATATCATACGATTTCTGTCAATAGTATTTGGTGTATTAAACAAAATGTCAAAAGTGTTTCAACTCCCCTCGATCTCCCCAACATATTTATTATTTATCGATTCTCATACTTGTATTTTTTGAATTTTAATCTCCATAGATATCATAAGTACACCCACCGATAGAGTATCAGCAATAAGAAATTTAACGTAAGCAATATTGTTTTCATTTAATCCTGGCATTAAACTGTGCGGAAATTGAGTTCCTCGTCTATTGTGAAGTATATTTAAGTTAATCGATTATGATAATCCAAAACGATTAAGTATTATTAAAGGTTATCTCTCTAAGTGATAGTTCATTAACACTATGGTAACTTTGTGGGGAACATATTATGGAGATATATCGTAGGGACGCCATTTTATCGTATATAGAGAAGCATATTATTCAATTAACTATAGCCTGTGGCTGTGTTTGCGTATACTTTTCCTATATATATATATATTATACCTATCAACTGATATGGCGACTAGATTGAATATGCTTGAAGTGGAGCAAGTGACATCCATGGCGATGTAGCAGTCACAGACAACGGCTGGCAACCCCCAAACACCATTGAACTGTAACAAGGAGAGATAACATATTATAAGAAGAAAAAATCAACTTTTATGCTACGTAAAGAAAATAAACTCTATGATTATGTATTTTGTGTTATTTAGTTGGGTAGTTGTATATAAAAAAGAAAAAAATATTGAAATATCTGTATGCTAAAGTTATATGTATGTATAACCTTCAGGTATAAACTTAAATATATACATATATTATAAATATATACATATATTATAAATATATATTTATAACTATAGAGATAAATAAAATATTATGGTCTTATTACCATTTAAACTTAGGGAACATATAGAAAGTAAAAAAAAACTTTCTATTTTTATACTATAAAACAACTTTTTTAAGTTTGTAGATGTTAAAAAAGGAAATTAAAGTGCGAACATCAAATAAAATTTGTTAATTATGACCGGAAGTACGTCTCTCACTTGGTTTGTAATTACGTTCAATGAAATTGTCATTCGAAGCATCATGTATGAAAAAAACTTATAATTATTTATTAAACTAATGAAACTAAATTTATATCTCGATTTTCAGTAATATTTAAGTTATGTAGGTTTATTTACGTTAGAAATTTTGTTTCAACTTTTTATACAATAAACAAAATGATTTACGTATATAATATGATATATTAGTATTTACTTGCTAAGTGTTTGTAAAAAGTCTAATTGAATAAAAATTAATTTCATATCATTTCATTTATTCTTCGCTTTCAGTATTTCGTTAGGGAATGGGCGTAATTTTTTATTATTTTTTTATACAATAGATAACATCGTTATATAATTGTAAAAAAATATCTAGCTCCAAAAAACAAAAATTTAGTATAAAAATATCTTAAATGTAATTAAAAAATTAAATAATTTAAAAATACTGTATCTACGAGTATGTATAGGTATACTTAGGAAAATGTATGAAACAACAAAGGGTTTATAGTTGACTATATACTCCGGTACATAAACTAGTAGTATATAGTGAAATCACTTCATTTTATTGCTGCGTAAAAGAACGTCCAGCTAACCAAAACACTTGCATTAATAATACCAACCAGCGTAAACAAGCTTTAATAGTACCTACTAACCTGCACTACACTTCCTTGACATATTATATACTAGCGACTCACTCTCGCTTTGCTCGGGTTCGTCCCTAGATTGCTTTCCAATACAAAATTTCATCCCTATTTTCACTCCCTTAAGGATGATTTCCGGGATAAAAAGTATCCTACGTCCTCCCCAGGGTCTCAAACTATCTTCTTACCAAACACCTAAATCGGTTCAGTAGGTCCAGAGATTACCCCCTACAGCGTCACAAACTCACAAACTTTGCCTCTTTATAATATTAGTATAGAAGTATAGATATAGATAGGTACGTAATAAAATACTTAAATATATATGTACCCATAAACCCAATTAGATAGATTAGATATAATACCAAAAAGAAATTGAGTTATAAAAGACTACGAAAGATGTAAAAACAAGTATTATAATCTCCTCCAGACCTATTCCGTCCACGGCGTCCAATCTCATTGAGACTAGCCTGCGCAGGAGATATTATAGTGCAAAAGTGTGCACCTGCACTCTTTTCATTCACAAAATCTGGTGAGATGCTATGTTTTTTTAATTTATTAGTTAGGATCACCAATTGGCTTACAATGTGATTTATTACAAACATATCTTTTATTTATTTATGTAGATTTATATATATTTAGTTATCGGTCATAAATTTACATTTAAAACATTTTCTATTTATACCTACTTAAAAACAAAGTCGGGTTTGTTACAACACTTATAACTCGAGAACGGCTGGGCCGATTTTTATGACCTTTGTTGTGTTGGATTTGTTTTCACCCCGAATAACAGAATAACTATTAACATAACTGAAAAATTCAGGAAAAAAATAAAAAAATATATATATTTCATACTAAGCGTTAAAACGTTAAAATATATCAATTAATAAATTATTAATTCGATTTAATAATTTATTAATTGATATATTTTTTTTAAAATTTTTATTATTAATTTCTGGTTTAACTATAATAATATCTGGTATTAGAGCTAATTATGAATTTGATTTAAAAAAAATTATTGCTTTATCTACTTTAAGACAATTAGGATTAATAATAATTTACTAAGCACCTCAACTTCTGGCTGCCAATGAAAATATTATATGTGGAAGAAAAAGCATCTATATAGATACATAGGAGAAATCGAATGCGTATGACTGTATGTAATGTGAATTAGAATGTAAAGAAAAATAATCAAGGTGTTGTATTTATGATATTTACACTCGCCTCGCACTTCTTTTAACATTGATTATTCAAAGGTAACTCTAAGTTTACATTTTCTCTTTTCTTTTCTTCTTTCTTCTTTTCTTTGTTATATAAATGACGTACATCGTTTATGCACATCCTTGTCAAACTGAAGTTTCTTTAGTGTTGTGTTATGTTGATCAAAAGAGCAAACTAAATAAAGATATTTCTACATGACTTTTGTCACTTTGCTTAACCTTTTGAAGCCATTAAACAAGGGAATTGAGTCGAATTGAAAAACAGACAAATTTAAAAAGGATCTCTAAAGTTTTTAGACATGTTTTTTAAATTTATCATTTTTAGTTAGTTAGTTTTTAGTTATAAATAAATATGTTGGGACATTAACACACAGCACTATCTAGTTCCATGGTAAGCTACAAGGCTTGTGTTATGGATACCAGATAGTTGATACACTATACATATATAACTTTAAATACATACATATTATAATTATATACAACCACGACTGGAGTACACACATTCGTGCTCATCACACAAATGAATGCCTCCAGCGGGACTCGAACCCGCGACAGCTGGCAGAGCAAGTAGGGTCACTACAAACTGAGCCAAACGTATTATCAAAGAGTTAAAAATGATGTCAAAACAGCATCTTGGTACCATATTATTGCATTATCATAGTATGTAGATACATAATAATATGCCAAAGATCGATCGGATGTTAGTAATCTACCGGAAAGGTGCAGCTTATATAAAAAAAGATTTATTTTTTTAGTTTTTCCCGCTTAGATAACAATTTACTATTTTAATTAATCTTAAAGAAATAAGATTCTTCATTTAAAAATTTTAATTTTGAAGTGCGTTTTTCTATAAGTTAAGTGTAACTTTCCAAAACAATTTTCTATGTTTATTATATTATTTGAAAAGAAAAATGAAAAATTGACATGTGATTTAAATTGTAAGCAAAAATAGGTTCATTATATTTGGTCAAAAACTTGAAATTTTTAATTGAATTTAAAAACAGCCACTACATATTGAGCTTTCTTTTAAAGCTTGGGCTTTTTGCCCAAAGTTAAAATAAAAAAAATATGTATCTACTCCAAAACAGATCAAGTAATTTTAAGGGCGAGAGCAACCATAGGGGAAAACTAACTATTGTATAATAAGTAAAGTCAGGCCTATATGCAAATTAAACGATATTTTACACAAAACAATGTTTATTTGACGATAATAATCGTACAAACCAAACAACAGAAGCAAACGTAGGAAGCTCTTCATTTTGTTTTAATGGAATCTTCTCTATTGAGTAGGTCAAAGTTTAAAGGGCGGTGAATTTTATTTTAATGTTAATGCAAAACTGGGAAGTCAAAAATGTAAATTTCTGAAAAAAACATTTAAAGGAGATTCAACTTTAAGATATCTTTGTTACTCTTTTGAGAGTTCTGTACGCAAAGGTTCCAGTTGGAATCGTATTATTAAAGCTTACAATGTTAGTCTGTCCGTTTGCCATATCATCACAGATTTGTTTGTTTTTATCATATTTTTATTAACTATATCATGTTGTAATCAAATCTTGAAAATCAATTCTTATTTCTTACCTATTTCCAATACTTCTAAGTAATCGAAGTCTGTATGAAAATTCAATGATTTGATACAATCTGGCGATAAAGCTTTCGCAAGTATTCTAATAAAGCCATTCAGTGGCTACCAATAAAATTTGAGACACGGATTTGGGCAAATTTGAATTGTTTGGACGACATATTTCAATATAACCAAACCACTATAATATCATTTTAATGGTTGCCATATAATAATAAGTCCAAAAACAATCCAAATTTCTTTAATATCAGTTATTTAATGAGTACAGGTTTTGTTGTATTCGATTAGATGTTATGTAACTTCAAATATTTATGGTCTCTCATTTGAAATTGACATACGAAATTGTAATTTCAAGAGTGCTTAGATATTCATCATATACAACTATGTGTGGTACAAGTTTCAATTTCCAAGGTACACTTCATAACACAATTGATTATCATAAATGTGAAAGTTTGTATGTTTGTTACTTCTTGACGCTGAAATAGCTGACGGTTTTGAGTGAAATTTAGTACACAGGTCTATCCATTTTGTTTTAACTTAGGAAATGCATTTACGCATACCACCTGCTGACATACAAGTAGTTATGTGGGAGTCACCTGCTAGAAAAGCCAAGTAATAAAATTTGGCTAAAGGTGCCTGCTTGTACATCCATACTAATATTGTAAATGTGAATAGCGTGATTTTTTGTGTGGACATAGTTGGAGGGCTGGAGAGTGACATAGGTTACTTTTTATCACGGGAGATTGTCTCTTTCCCACGGGAAAGCACGTTATAATACAACCCAAAAAAAAAATTATGATCAGAATTACTTAAAACTTGCTATTAATGCTTTTCAATACAATTAAATAAATATGTGTTTTAGCATTTTTCGAAATTCATTGTATAAGTAGGTTAAATAGGGGATGAAAGTTTGTATAAAACTACCTTTTTAGAGATTTTTTGCGGTTTTAGTGCGAGCAAAGCTGCGGGTTTTGCTAGTAATAATATAAATCCAAAAGATATATGAGAACACACCTGAACGAAGGAAGGGTAAGTCGTTTGTTTCATAATAATCTAACAGTTTGTTATTCAGAATTTTTTCAATAAAAATATAATGATGTCTAAGGCGGAATGTACATAAATAAAGTTTCATGCCAT